AGAAAATAAAGTCTTGTCAGTTACAGATGCATCATTATTAATGGATGAAATGGCGTGCGGTCTGGGATTCACTTGAAAATACTCCATCAGATAAAGGGGGTAGGGTTGGATAGAACCATGCCTGACAAAATGTTGACAACTGCTCAAAGTTGAGGGTTTGTTACAGTGTTCTCCCTACCTCTGTGTATGTTTGAAACATATCATAATGCAAAGCTTTTCTCTGTTTTTCCCTTGATTAATTTTTTAAGGAATGGCGGTCAACAGAGTATACGAAGAAGGCTGGGAGATTCCAGGCCTGCTCTCTTCTCTTCATGGTCTAAATGAAGAGCTCTATTGGGGTTGACAGGGACCCTGGAAGTCTCTTCTAGACCCCAAGGACACCAGAGAGCCTGGTTTGGTCCCAGGAGCTGTGCTAGGGATTACAGTCACAGTAAAGCAGATCTGAAATGGTTCAGGGGAGCTAGACAAAAGTAGATTGCTACGCGAGCTTCCTTAGATTCCAAACCAAATCCATGAGCCCTTGGTCCTCAGTCAGCTAGCTCATGTGCTCCCAGACTCAGGGGTAGGACCTGAATCAGAAGACCTGAGACGTGAAGCACGGAGAGTAAATTGTATATTGAAAAGCACCACCTGTGACAATCAGTTTCCTTTGTGCGCCTATGAAATACAAGGAGACCAAAATGCATGGGGTGCAGCACATTTTTAAAACCAAGTTAATTACATCACTTGTTGGAAGAGGCACACATACATTCAGAAACATGTGTTTTAGTAAATGAAAATTGTAGGGTTTCAATTTCTGATGTAAATCGATCCCCTGATTTGGGTACCAGATTTGGCAGCCACTGTGGTTGGGGTGTCTATGTAAAGCATGGAACTATAGACGCTTGGTTAATGTCCCTCCCTCAAGTCTACTTCTGATGCATACACCTGACAGTGGTTTGCACTCACTTAGCACAGTCAGGTGGAAAGAGCGCAGGCCTGTGAGACAAAACAGATCTAGGTTCTAATTCCAGCTTTGTGCCTCTAGGCAAGTTTCTCAGCTTCTCTATTCTTCTTTTTCTCATCTGTCGTATGGGACTAGTAGACTAATAATCAACACCCTGCAAGGGTGTGAGGAGCCTGCTATACCGGGCACAGGGCAGGTCTTTGATGATGCTTCTTTCTTTTCCCTCCACCAGGGAGGACCCTGAGGCTTCTTATTCCCAATCCAAGGTATCCCCTAATGCTCAGCCTTATGGGGCTCAGAAAAGGAAAGTCTTCCTGTGAAAAAGCCTGTATTATTAGCTTCCACATTTTTAAGCTCTACAATAGTAGAAGCTGTGGAAACATCTCTTTTTTTTTTTTAATTTTTTTTTTTTAATTTCTAGGAGAGAGAGAGACAGCGTGAGCAGGGGAGGGTCAGAGTGAGAGGGAGATACAGACTCTGAAATTGGCTCCAGGCTCTGAGCTGGCAGTCAGCACAGAGCCCCACGTGGGGCTCGAACCCACGAACCGCGAGATCATGACCTAAGCGAAAGTCGGATGCTTAGTTAGTAGGACTAAGCCACCCAGGCGCCCCTGTGGAAACATCTCTAACAGCAAACCATGCAAGGCTGCCTCCTGGTGCTTCCCCCACACAACCACTTATGCCATTTTCTGTTATTTTTGCTGACTGAAAAGATGGCAGTGATCAAGCCAATACAGCAGGTAATCAAAACCCATGGCTTATCGATTCTTTCATAAAATTGAATGTTTTAAAACCAAAAAAACAAGATAGACTGTAGAAATTCTAAAGCTCTGGAATACGTCTAGACATTTCCTTCATTGGAATAGTCAGTTTACTGAGCTTGCCAGCTGGCTTCCATCACACACCTGATTGTCATGCATCCCAAGTGAGGTGGCACTCGGGACCCTAAAACTGGAATAACTCCATCATGCCTTATTTTGGCCATTGACTCACTATGCCTTGCTTTGTAGATAGCAGTTGATTTGTCCCAGCCTGGAGACAAGGCTCCTTGAGGTCAAGGACCTTGTCCAGGTCACCATTGCAAGATCCAGACAGTTAGTACAGGCCCTTGAACTTAACAGGTGCTTAATAAATTATTGCTGTAAACTTAAGTCACCTCTGGGATCAGAAAAGAAGATTTTGGAGAAGCAAACATTTGCCCATTTAAATCTTGCATTCTCCTGATTATTGGCAAGCACCTCTCTCTCTCCCTCCCTTGTTATTTCTGGGATTTCCCCATTTTTAATGCCTTTATCCAGTTCTTGGAATATTGTTGGGTCAATAAAAAGGTCCTCAGATAAATGTTTATCTGGGTTCTGTCTCAGTTCTGTCTCCAGTGAAGAAATCCCTAAGACTCTTCTGGCCTTACAGCTTTGGGACAGGGACTCCAGCTTTCATTTTTCATCATCTCCTCCCTTCTCCCCTCCCCCTCCTCCTCGTCTTCCTTTTTTTTTTAAGTGGGCTTCACACCAGCATAGAGCCCAATGCAGGGCTTGAACTGACAACCCTGAGATCAAGACCTGAGCTGAGATGGAGTCAGAGGCTTAACCGACTATGCCACCCAGGTGCCCCTCATTTTTCATTTCTTAGTGCAGAAAGATTTGCAAGCTTTACCGCTTCTGGGAATTCACTGGGCCAGAGAAGATGCCCCCAACATCCTCAGGTCACCAAGAACTATATATATATATATATATATATATGGAAACTATCTAATAAATAAAACCTGATGAGGGCCTTTCGTTTTGAAAACAGGAGTTCTCAGAGAAGAGATGAGGGTCTAATTTTTCCTGTACCATTAAGGTCCATAACTGTAACTCCCCATGGAAGTATCCCTGGCACCTTGATCCTTCCTTACCAAGTCATCCTGTCCCATACAGCTCAAAAGCTAGATTCACTATCTTCTGTTGGTCTCTTGGCTATTGGCTGTTAACACCCTACCCTCCTGTAGATGCTTGTATACTGTAGAAGGAAGATCAGATTTAATTGGAAAACTAGATGGTTACATAGTATGTGTAGCTAGGTGTTGGGGAAGGGTGGCCTCTTGGCTCTGCCTGAGGAGAGGAGGAAGTCATCACCCCAGAAGCCTACACATGGCAAGGTCTGATCTAACCACTTCCAGGGTGCCCTGGGAGGCAGTCACGGTGAGCTGTGGCAACAAAGAAAAGTGCCAGCTTGGGGACAAGCATGGTGTCATTGGGAAAGAGAATAAGGGATGAGTCCTCAAGATCCCAGTGATGAGGCTCAAGTTAAGAATGTGAACTTCAGGGGCGCCTGGGTGGCTTAGTCGGTTAAGAGTCCGACTTTCACTTAGGTCATGATCTCGCGGTTCGTGGGTTCGAGCCCCACATCGGGCTCTGTGCTGACTGCCAGCTCAGAGCCTGGAGCCTATTTCAGAGTCTGTGTCTCCCTCTCTCTCTGACCCTCCCCTACTCACGCTGTCTCTCTCTCTCTCCTAGAAATAAAAAAAAAAAAAAAAAAAAAAGAATGTCTACTTCATAATAAAGAAAAAATGGAAATAAGAAGGTTTGGTTCAAATAAAGGGATGAATCCAGGGAGGCATGCTCAGTACTTATTTTTTGAATGGCATTTGTATTCAGTGACTTTGATGCCCTTCCCTTCAAACAGATCAGACTTCTCATGGTTACTGAATCATTTGCTTGGAAGGATTCCACATCCCTCCAAGGGGACTGACCCTTGGCACCCCTCAGTGAGAAATACTGACTGCATCACTGCTCTTTGCTTTTTCTCATTGTTCTTAGTGATGCCTGTTGTCCTATAGTTGGTATTCTTAGTAACATGTCTGTGTGCATGGGTAGAAAGATCAAGAAGGTGGAAATTGTGAACAGTAAGAGGCAAAGGCAAGAAAGACATTTTCTATTTTATCAAACTATAAAAACCAACATCTCAGTTTCCACTCCCAAAGCATAAGGTGTATGTTTCAAGAGTTTTATTTAAAAGATGGGAAAAACAGGGGCACCTGAGTGACTCAGTCGATTGAGCTTCTGACTTTGGCTCAGGCCACGATCTCATGATCTCACGGCCCTGCGTCGGACTCTATGCTGACAGCTCGGAGCCAGGAGCCTGCTTCAGATTCTGTGTCTCCTCTCTCTGTGCCCCTTTTCCTATCATGCTTGCTCTCTCTCTCTCCTTCAAAAATAAATAAACATAAAAAATAATAAAAATAAAAGATGGGAAAATCTTGAGCAAATTTCTCATTTCTACATATGCTGGCATTTGCTGTTTCTCTGCCTGGAGCCCCACCACCACCACCACACACGCTTGTGTGCACACACACGCACGTACACTCCTCCTTGCCTGCCTAATTCCTCTTTAGCTTTCAGGTATCCCTGCTTAGTCTTCTCAGAATCCCAAGTCTGAGCTGGGATCCTCCTCTTAACCACTCCCATAGGACACTGTACCTCCTTCAGCACCACACCTATACGATGTAGTAATCCCCTCACTAGGCTAGAGCTTCATAAGGGCAGGGACCAGATCTGGCTTTTTTAGAGTTCAATCCCCCATTCCTGGAATGGCATTGAATAAGTATTTATAGAATAAATGAATTCCGATGAGTCTGTATAAGACTTTTCTTCCTATGAGCTGTTGTTGGTCTGTCTGAACAATGTCTCCTGAGTATGGTGGTTCAGGTTGTGCACTGCACAGGATGTCTAGCCAAGTCAGGAGGGGAGGCCAAAATCCAGCTCGCATTCCCATCACCCAGCCATCTTTCACTGACTGTATCCGCCTGGAGGAAGAGGTGCCCTTTTCTGATTTGTACAATGGCACCACACGGGCTCTCAGCTGGGCACCTCTGAACAACACTTGGCATCTTCAAAAGGACGTGACCGTTCTCCCCTAGGAGTTATTTCTAGGAACAACTAGAAAGGCTAAGACTGAGCACTTTTATGAAACTGTTTCTTCGGGTCCTTTGCCAGTCCTCTGTGCCAAGACCCTGGCCGCATTCGCAGCAGAGGCCTCCCTCACTCTTCTCCCCTCTGATCTTTGTCTCCTGCAGGGTTTGGGATGACCACTCCAGCGACGGTAGGAGGGAAAATCTTTCTGATCTTTTACGGCCTCATCGGCTGCGCAAGCACCATCTTGTTCTTCAACCTCTTCCTGGAGCGCCTCATCACCGTCATTGCCTACATCATGAAGTCGTGCCACCAGCGGCAGCTCCAGAGACGAGGGGCCCTGCCCCAGGAGAGCCTGAAGCCCCCGGGCAGGTGCGAGGTGGATAGCCTGGCCGGCTGGAAGCCTTCCGTGTACTACGTCATGCTGATCCTGTGCGTGGCCTCCCTCCTCATCTCCTGCTGCGCGTCGGCCATGTACACCTCCATCGAAGGCTGGAGCTACTTTGACTCGCTCTACTTCTGCTTCGTGGCTTTCAGCACCATTGGCTTCGGGGACCTTGTCAGCAGCCAGAACGCCCAGTATGACAGCCAAGGCCTCTACCGCTTCGCCAATTTCGTGTTCATCCTCATGGGCGTCTGCTGCATCTACTCCTTGTTCAATGTCATCTCCATCCTCATCAAACAGTCCGTGAACTGGATCCTGAGGAAAATGGATGGGGGGTGCTGCCAGCAATGCCAGAGGAGACTCCTGAGGTCCCGGAGGAACGTGGTGATGCCGGGCACCGTCCAGGACCGGGGCGACATCTCCATAGACACGGATGGGGTGATGGAAAGCGACACGGACGGGCGGCGTCTCTCAGGGGAGATGATCTCCATGAAGGACTTCTTGGCCGCCAACAAGGTCTCGCTGGCCATCCTCCAGAAGCAGCTGTCTGAGACCGCCAACGGCTGCCCGCCCCAGGCCAGCGTGCTGTCCCGGGATAACGAGTTCTCAGGGGGGGTGGGGGCCTTCGCCATCATGAACAACAGGTTGGCGGAGACCAGCGGGGACAGGTAGGGAGCCGGGAGCGGCCGCTGGACATGGAGGTCAGGAGAGTGGACGATGGGGGGAATTGGCACCCGGCTCAGCTCTGTGCCAGGGCGGGTTCCCTCTGGAGCTGTCCTGTGACCCTCTGCAGGCCCAGCCTTAGAAAGCTGTGCTCCTCAGACACACAGCCACCTTCTAGGGCTGCAGACCGAGGCCATGAGGCCCTTCTTGTCTTGACTCTATAAGGTGTGAACTCAGTCTTGAGAATGAATCACAGAGGCAGCCCAAGACATTGCACTGTTTTTTTATTCACTTCCTCCAAGGTTTTAACTGCCTAAGGGAAGGGAGGCCTCAAGTAAGGCTCCATTTCCCTCTGCTCTGTTCTTCATTTGGAAATAAAAATCCTGATCGGGAGATCCTCGTTGTCCCCTAGAACCCTGACTGGCTGGACTCACTGCCCTTCGCAGCCCCTTCAGAAAAGTGAGGGGATGTTTCAGAATGTGTCTGGGCCCTGGGCTCCCTTCAGAGCAGATGTGTCTATGTGCGGTGGATGAGGAAATCACCCGGTCTCTCTCTGTGTGTGCTTCTCTGCCTTTTGTTTTTCCTTTCTTTTATTTTTAAGATCCTAATCCTGGGCTAAGGAGTCTGTGGGACTCGGCGTGGTAAAAAGAAAACTAAATTCAGCTTCAGGCCTTTAAGCTGCAGCCAAGTAGTGGACAGACTCATTTTTTTTTTTTTAAAAAAGGAAAAAAAAAAAAAAAAATAATACATAAAAAGAAAAAAAAAAAAATTAAATTTTTTTTTTTTAACCAGGGCATGGGACCCATTGCAAAGATAATGGCTGACTCCTTATTAGAACTGAAAATTGAATAAGTCCTCACTTTATTAACTAAGATTACATGAGTGCTTATTATGGACAGTGGGGCTGGGGGCATTTGTTGTGCTCCGTGAAAAAAGAAACAAAAAAAAAAAATAACCTTTAGGGATATAAGCATCATCTTAGATTCTTGGCTAGAAAAAAATATTCTAGGCCAGATAAAGAAATGGCTTCTCTTGTGTAATTTGTTTCCGTTCTGCCTCCTGGGATTGTAACAAGTCTAGTTACGTAACCTCCAGAACAGTTAACACGTCCATGCTGGAAACAGGGCCTGTTGATCTTCATATATTCAGGAGAGAACATTTTGAGGTTTGAGAGAAGCATTAATAAGAGATAGCTGTTGTTTTTATAAGTATGGATGGTGTACACACAGCACTTTCAAGAAGCGATGAAGGAAGTCAGGCATTGTAAAGAGAATCAAGCAGAGAACTACACCCAAAGAAACTGAAATGTTGAGCAGAACATCAGAGTCGGGAGGACCTGAGGGACCATCCCATACAGCTTTCTTGTGTTTTACACAAGGTGCGAAGGGACGGCTCCTTATCTGAACTCCCAAGGCTGACAGCGTACAGCTAGGAGAACCCAGGTGTCCTGCTGGTGACGTCTGAACTCGTCACCCGTGCTCCACACAGCTTCAGAACCTCCCTCAACTGCTCCCTCCGAGGATGAGTTGCCTTCTCTTCCAGCTGGCAAATCCCATTTTTTTTTTTCACAATGCTGAAAGTACTCAACGGCAGAAGTCCTTTAAACAGCAGCCCTGGGCTTTGAACTAAGGGCTATGCGGCTCTGAAGTCAGAGATCTTCAAGTCTCATTTTGTATCGCTCTCAAAGGAAACATTCTGGAGCTACTGCAACCGTGCCCCCCCCCCCCTTAAGAACCTCTGATTTCAAATCAAGCTCCCCAGGGGCTCTGCTCTGGGAGAAGGCACCGCAGGAGACGGGGAGAGGAGCTGGGTCCCTGCCCTAGGAGATTTCTTGATCTCCACATTCCTGGTACAGGGACTGGTACAAAGCAGGTCCTTGTTTCTCCAACCCAGGTCCCTAGACCTGGGACATGTGCCAGGGGGGCAAGGAGCATTCATATAAGGAAGAATCATCTTCCTGGAAGGTCACTGTACTAAATGATTTTCGCAGAGAAATGTTATGTCAAAACACACGGCTCTATGTCAGTAGTTTCCAAAACTGGAATAAATTTCTGAGCTAAACATGAAACAAAGTTTTTTGAACTTTTGAGGAGTTTCTGGAGGGGTCCTCTCAGGGTCCTGGAGAATGAGTTTGTTTTGCTGTGGGTTGAGGTTCCCTGGTGGAAACATTTGAGCGCCAGCAGAAGGAGAGAAGTGTGGTACATTCACGATGGATGAATGGGAATGACGTATGGCCCCCAAAATGGCAGAAGTAGGAATCTCTGTAGTTACTCTCAGGCATGAATTGGTTAACACGGGAATTTCTAGGTATGAATATAAAGCTGGAGTTCAAAATCTGGAGCGCACAAATCCTCTAACAGCGTAATGTATGTACGGGCACACCTCCGCGGTACAATGGTCCCAGACCACCGCAATACAGTGAACATCGCAGTAAAGCCAGTCAGGTCAACTTTTTGGCTTCCCAGTGCAGATGAAAGTTACGTTTACCACATACTATAGTATATTAAGTATGCGATGGCATTGTGTCTTTTTAAAAGTACATTAATTTAAAACTACTTTATGGCTAAAAAATGCTGACCATCACCTGAGCTTTCAGCCGGTTGTAATCTTTTTGTTGGTGCAGGGTCTTGCCTCAGTGTTGATGGCTGCTGACTGAGAGGGGTGAGGGCTGCCAAAAGTTGGGGATGCTGTGACAATTTCTTAAAACAAGACAGCAATAAAGTTTGCTGCATTGAGTGACTCTTTCTTTCACGAATGATTTTTCCGTGGTGTGTGATGCTGTTGGATAACGTTTTACCCACAGGAGAACTCCTTTCCAAACTGGAGCCAGCCGTCTCAAACCCTTCTCCTGCCTTATCAACGACATTCTAAGACCTTTGTTGTCATTTCAGTAATCTTCACAGCATCTTCACCAGGAATAGATTCCGCCTGAAGAAACCACTTTCTTGGTTCATCAACAGCAAGCAACTTCTCAACCATTAATATTTTTTTAAGATTTTATTTATTTTTTGAAGTGAGATTTTTAAAAATAATTTTAATATTTATTTTTAAGAGAGAGAGAGACAGACAGAGCATGAACAGGGGAGGGGCAGAGAGAGAAGGAGACACAGAATCTGAAGCAGGCTCGGGGCTAGAGCTCACGAGCCCATGAGATCATGACCTGAGCTGAAATCAGACACTTAACCAACTGAGCCAACCAGGTGCCCCAAGATTTTATTTATTTTTAAGTAAACTCTATACCCAATGTGGTGCTTGAACTCATGGCCCTGAGATCAAGAGTCACATGCTCCACCAATGGAGTCAGCCAGATACCCTCATCCATTAAATTTTTATCACGAGATTACAGCAATTGAGTCCCATCTTCAGGCCCCCCTTCTAATTCTGATTCTCTTGCTATTTCCGCATCTGTAGTCAGAACACATAACATCTGTCAATAAAGATCACCATCTTATATGGGCGTGGTCTGTGGCACCCCTCGATGATTACGATAGTAACATCAAAGATCACTGATCACAGATCACCGTAACTAATAATAATGAAAAAGTTTCAAATATTGCAAAAATTACCAAAATGTGGCCCAGAGACACTAAGTGAGCAAATGCTGCTGGGACAATGGCACCGATAGACGTGCTTAAGGCAGGGTTGCCACAAACCTTCAATTTATGAAAAATGCAGTATCTGTGAAGGGCAAGAAAGTGAGGCACAACAAAATGAGGTGCAGCTGTACACGCAGGTGTGAGAGGGAGCATACGCGTGTGCATAATGAGCTTCATGCCTTTCTTCATGTTTCTAAGGTGGTCCTTCCATCTTCACTATAGTTAGAAGTTATTGCTATTTTCCGTTGTCACCTTTGTCTCCCCTCTGCATGTCTCTAGCCTCCTCATCCATTCTCTCTGTCCCCCTCTCTCTGGACTGTGTCATGCGGCCTCCTTACCAGAAATCATGCTCTGCTTCCCTGGCAATTTACTGACCCAGAGGATGGTGACCATCAGAAGAAGGCTTTGAGGTTGGCCTGGGCACCTCTATTCAGGAGCCCAGAGAGACCCCCCGAGGTGATGAAGGCACTCATTGACTTGACATCCATGAAGCTCTTGGACTTCATCCATGGCTGGACTCACTCACCTGTCTTGAGTTCTCTGTGGTGCTATGATTGTGCACTGGCCATTCATGGGGGGGCCTTGGAGCCAGGACATGGGGTGTCTCAGGACCCTGATCCTACGCTGCTTGCACAAGTGTTTCCGTATTCCTGTACCTCGTGAAATAGTATCTCCTTAATGTTCTAACCAACTAAGTTTTTACTTTTGTTCTGAAAAGAAATTTGTCTCACTAAATGGAGGGCTCATATCACTTGTTATAAATAGAAAATACAGTCATTGTAAATTTCAATAGAATGAAGATAAAATTGTCATTAAATTCTTGACAGATCCTGTATCCTAGCGAAGACTCTAACCCTGGGACCTTTTCTCTCGGTTAGAAATGTTAGAAATCCACAGATTGGCATGTGTGGGAGAGGTGCAAATGACGCCAGCACCAAACAGACATTGTGGTGGAAACATAAGGACTAGAAAACAATGGAAAGGGGGAGAACTTCCTCACTGTGTGCTTTGATGTGAATTCATCCCAAGCCTGAGGGCCTCTAAAATTATCTCATGCTCACTCAGATCATTGGTGCACATCCCACTTTGGGGGCTACATAAAAGTAACCAAGTACATGGGCCACCTGGGTAGCTCCGTCATTAAGTGTCCAACTCTGGCTCAGGCAGGTCATGATCTCACGGTTTGTGGGTTTGAGCCCCACATCAAGCTCTGTGCTGACAGTTCAAAGCCTGGAGCCTGCTTCAGACTCTGTCTCCCTCTCTCTCTGCCCTTGCCCTGCTCATTCTCCCTGTCTCTCTCTGTCTTTCTCTCTCTCTCTCAAAAATAAATAAAAGTTAATTTTTTAATGAAATAAACATTTTTTTAAAAATCTTGAAATTTTTCTATATACAAAAAGTAACAAAGTGCAGTAGTTTTTGAGGTCAGGCTAACTGCATGGGGAAGAACAGTTCTCAGGCTTGAACACCAGCCTACAAATACCAGTTCCAACGTGAGACAGGGTGGGCAAGTCTCCCTATGCCCCAGTTCCTCTGCACCTGTGATGTGCAAATGGTAAGAAATGGATCAAACGAGGTGATGCTCAGAGCAGGGCTCTGTGGCCCCTTGGGAGCTCCCAGACAGCAGCCACTGGCTGTCCACATGCTGGGGGATGGGGGCTGGAGGTGAGGAGGACATTAGGTCCAACAGTGAAGGATTTTGTTTTGTTCCTGCACCCGACATCCAGTGCTTGCCACCCTGTGCTTTATAAGTGGTTCTCAATTATTAAATGGCATCCCTCTTGGTGATGGTTTTATGCTAAACTGAAAGACCCCAACAACTTCATTTCTCTTCCACTGAGCCATTTCATCTCAGGATTAGCTGAGTTAATTTGTACAATTTGACATAGTAAAATGTTTGGGGAAATCTGTAATAATAATATCTTGTGTATTGCTAAAATGTTATGGCTTTTAAGACTTATCCATCTACAGGGGCGCCTGGGTGGCTTAGTCGGTTAAGCGTCCGACTTTCGCTTGGGTCATGATCTCGCGGTTCGTGGGTTCGAGCCCTGCGTCAGGCTCTGTGCTGACTGCCAACTCGGAGCCTGGAGCCTGTTTCAGAGTCTGTGATTCCCTCTC